ATAAGTCCACAAAAATCATTAGCATTTCTATATATCATCAACAAAGTCCAGCAGCAAGAGATAGAAAGAGAAATTCCATTTAAAATAACTGTAGACAATATAAAATACTTGAGAGTCTACCTGCCAAGACAAACCCAGGAACTATATGAACACAACTATAAAACACGTTTCACACAAATAAAGTCAGATCTAAAAAACTGGAAAAATATTAATTGCTCATGAGTAGGCCAACTCAATATAATAAAATGACAATTCTAACTAAATTAATCTATTTATTCAGTGCCTTACCAATCAAATTATCAAAAAAGAGCATTTTATAGGGCTAGAAAAAATATAACAAAATTCATCTGAAAAAACAAAAGCTAAAGGACATCAAGGGAATCAGCGAAAAAAATGAGAAAGAAGATCTCAAAATATTTTATAAAGCAGTAATTATTAAAATAATCTTTTACTGGCTAAGAAATAGAGTGGTTGATCAGTGAAATGTATTAGGTACAACTTACATTATAGTAAATGACCATAGTAATCTACTGTATGATAAACCCCCAAATCCAAGCTTTTGGAACAAGAACTCACTATTTGACAAAAACTGCTGGGAAAACTGGGAAACAATATGGCAGAAACTAGGTATAGACCAACATCTCATGTTGTATACCAAGATAAGGTCAAAATGAATAAAAGATTTAGACATAAAGGGTGATGCCATAAGTAAATCAAGAAAGCATGGAATAATTTATCTGTTAGATTTATGGATGAGGGACCAATTTAGGACCAATGAAGATACAGAGAGCATTACAAAATGTAAAATAAATAATTTTTATTATACAAAATTAAAAAGTTTTGCACAAACAAAACAATGCAAACAAAATTATAAGAAAAGCAGAAAATTGGGGAGAAATGTTGCAACAAGTATCTCTGATAAAGGCATCATTTCTCAAATATATAGAGAACTGAGTCAAATTTATAAAAATACATGTCATTCCCCAATTGATAAATGGTCAAAGGATATGAATAGGTAATTTTCAAATGAAGAAATGAAAGCTCTTTCTAGTCATATAAAAATGCTCTAAATTACTATTGATTAGAGAAATGCAAATTAAAATAACAGAAGCACCACCTCACACCTGTCAGATTGGCTAATATGACAAAAAAGGAAAATGTTGGATGATGGAGGAAATGTGGGGGAAATGGGATAATACGCTGTTGGTAGAGTTGTGAACTGATCTGATCACTCTGGAGAGCAATTTGGTTCCCAAGGGGCAACCAAACTGTGCATACCCTTTGATCCAGCAATACCTCTACTAGGTCTGTATTCCAAAGAAATCATAGAAAAGAGTAAAAGACCCACATGCCCAAAAAATATTCATAGCAGCTCTTTTTGTGGTGGCTAAGAATTAAAAATCAAAGGGATGCCCATCAATTGGGGAATGACTAAACTGATTGTAATGGAATATTATGGTGCTATAAGAAGTGGCAAGTGGGATGATTTCAGAAAAAACCTGGAAAGGCTTTCATGAACTGACACAGGACAGAACAAAACCAGAACACTGTGCACAGTGACAGCAATATTGTTTGATGAAGGATTGTGAATGACTTAGCTTTTCTCAGCAATATACTGATCCAAGACAATCCCAAAGGACTAATGATGATGCATACTATCCTCCTCCAGAGAAAGAACTGATATTGATTGAATACAGACTGAAATACGCTATTTTTCTTTTTCTTTCTTTCTTTCCTTCTTTCTTTTTCTTTTATTTGAATCTTCTTGTACAAAATGACTAATATGGAAATATTTCACATATTTGCACATGTATAACCTATATCTGATTGCTTAGAGGAAGAGATAGAATTTGGAACTCAAAACTTTAAATAAAAATGTTTTGTTTTGCTAGGCAATGGAGTTAAGTGATTTGCCCACGGTCACACAGCTAGTGAGTGTTATGTGTCTGAGGACACATTTGAACTCAGGGTCTCCTGACTCCAGGGCTGGTGCTCTATCCTCTGTCCCACCTAGTTGTCCCTAAATAAAAAATGATTAAAAATTTGGGGAAAAAGATGTTATTGACCCTCATGTGAATCAACTAGTTATGATAACTTTAGTCTCCTATGAGGGGAGGGAATTTGAGAGGGAATGGGTGGAAATTTACAGAACAACAATTTTGAAGATGGAACGACCTTGGTTTTGAGCTGGTCAAACCCATACCTAAAAAAAGGCATACCCAACAAGGGCTTATTAATCTTGGCTTAAACACCTCCAGAGATGGAGAAGTCACTCCGTTCTGGAGCAGCTCATTCCACTTCAAGATAGCACTAACACACAATGAGCTTCCTCGTCTGCTGTATCATGTGATTAATGTCTGTGGAGATTGCTATCCCCTATGAACTTCAGGTGAGCTACTGTCTCATCAGACCTCCCACACGTCTCATGCATGTGGGAAGTACATTTTTAACCTAACTTTAATATTTTACCTTCCTTTCAAATTTTACCTTCCAAAGAAGTTAAATAAAAAAGACAAACTATAGGACTAAAAATCCATTCCTCACAAGTACTAAGGCAGCAAGGCATAATGGGTAGCTTACTGGATTTGGAGCCAGAGAACCCAGGTTCAAACCTGACCTCTCTCACTTCTTGCCTGTGTGGCCTTAGACAAGTTTCTTCACCTTACTGGGCCTCAGCTTTCCCATCAGCAATGTAAGAGGACTGTACCTGATGGCCTCTAACCTCCCCATGGTACTAGATCTGTGATCCTATGATGCTGTGCTTTATCAGTGTTCAAAAAAACCTCAAAATAAGTATTTAGCATAAGCTATTTAGGCCAAGGTTTCGACCAATATAAATGGACTAACTTAACCTTCATGCTTAAGGGTCTTTATTGAGTATTGTCTGTCTGTTAGGTCTGTATGATATACAGGATTAAAAAGTGAGGGTTGCTGACATGTCAAGAAAGGAAATATGCTAGGGACTGGTGAGCTTCCAGGAAAATGGATGTATCTTTCCTGGTTGATAGAAGGCTATGTTGTCAAAAGCAAGGTTAATGTTTGAACTATGCACCCATTTTATTTCTTGGTTGGTGCAATGCTAAGTATTGCCTCCAAAGGCTGCCAAAATCAGAAATGAATGGGCTTTGAAAGGAAAATGCAAGCAGAGCCAACTTCCACTACAGCTTTGGTTTCACAAGGATGAATTAAAGGGTCAAGACAAAGTGGGTTTTTTATGATTTCTGTGGGGAAAAAAAAAAGAAATGAAAAGGAAAGAAAAAGCAGAACTGCATTTGGGAAGAATATTAAGACCAACTTCCGGTAAATATCCAAATCCTCCCAGGGATGCAGTTGCTCAACAAGCATTGTTAAGCACCTACTATGTACCAGGGCACTGAGCTAAGAACCGAGGATACACAAAGAGGCAAAACCAGCCTTGGCTTTCAAGGGGCTGACTGTCCAATGGATAAGACAATATGCAAACAATGATGGACAAACAAGGTGCAGAAAGGAGAAATGGGAGATGGCCAACAGAAAGTAAGAGACAAGGTTAAGGAAGACTGGGAAGGGATTCCTGAAGAAGTTGGAAGTTTAAATGAGACTCAAAGGAAGCCAGGAGATGGAGACCGTCTGCCGCTTCCATGAAGCAATTCTCACCCCTCAGAGAATATCCAAGTGGGTCAGAGGTTCTGCGGTCCAACCCGTGGGTAGCCAAGAATCCCTTCAACAATGTAGACACATGGTCATGCAGCTTTTGTGTGAAGAATGAATGGGAACCCATGAGCTCCTAAGGCAGAAATGTCCCTTTTGGACAACTCCCACTTTGAGGAGGTTTCCCCTGACTCAAACCCACATTTTCCACTCTGAAACTTTCACCCACAAGTTCTGATTTTGTTCTCAGAGACCAAGTAGAACAAGTGTAATCCTTCTTAGATGTGACAGATCCTAAATGAGTAGAAAGCCATCCAAACAATTAGATAGTCATGTATCCCTCTGAGTCCTCCCTCAACCAGTTCTCATACGGCTTGAATCTGAGGTCCTTTCTCATCTTAGTTGCCATCTCAGTACCCTCCAGCTTATCAATGTCCTTCCTAAAAGGCAGCAACAAGGACCAAACATGATATTCCTGATGAAGTGGTCTGATTAGGACAGAGCACAGAAAGACTATCACCTCACAGACCTTGAATGCCACGCCTCATTTAGTGCAGTTTACTGTCACATGAACTTCCTGTTCATGAGCTTTCAATGCTCCAAGGCCCCCAGATGTTTTTCAGATAAACTACCATCAAGCCATACCATCCACATCTTGTACTTGTGACGCTGATTATCAATCAATCAATCAATATTTATTAAGCATCTACTATGTGCCAGGAATTTGATCTTACTTCATTTAGCCCAATGCTGTACCCTATGAGCATTCTTCTGACTCTGACTCTGACATTAATCAATCAATCAACAAGTATTTATTGTAATCCAGTGTGTTTATGATCATCCTTCTAGTTATGTGTCATCTGCCAATCTGATAAGCATGCCAATTGTCTTCATCCAAGTAATTAATAAAAATATTAAACAATACAGGACCAAGCAACTGGCATCCATGTTTAAGGCAAAGTCAACGTTATTTTCAATTCAGCAAATATCTAATGAGCATTTACTAAATGCTTCCTTCACTAAAGTACTCCTTTGGTGCCTCATCATGGCATGGAGGTGACCCTGAGTTCTCAAGATAGAAAGACTTTTAAGTAAGCACTAAGGAATAATTGCTATATGTCAGTGATCCCAGGACCAGGCTAGAAAAATCCAGTGACACTGATGACCAGAAGGGACCACTACAACCCCCCTAAGAGATGGCCATCCAGCATCTCCTTGAAGACTGCCAGTAAAGGGGATCTACTTGAGAAACACAAGGTAGTGCAGAGAGGTCTGGAATTGAAGCCAGGAGAGATCTGGGATTGGCTCTTGCCCATGATGCATCATGGTTGGTAAACTGGAAGTAAACTGGTGAGACCAGTCATACCCACCTCAAAGGACTCCAATTTCACATCGAATGAGGATCAGTTGAAGTAACTGGGAATGTTTTGCCCAAAGAAGAGAAGATGGAGAGGTAAGGGGGATGCTGTGGGGAATGGGACAGGAAATCAATTAGAGAGAAGCATGATTGCCTGGCTGCAGTGAGAAGCCAGATGAGATTAGATAGCATAGAGCGAATGGACCCATTTCATGTAGTGTCATGATTTCCTACAGCTCTGTCCAACAGCACATGCACAAAGGGAAAGGATTTCCATTTCATCCAGTCCCTCCAACACCCAGTATTTTCTCAGGCCATTATTATCACTCTGGATTCATTTTCCTCCCTATCCAATCTTAATGCTATAGTTGGCTGATTCACCTCTACACTGTCCTTTACTTTCCCATCCCTTGCTCTGAGTTCAGTCACTGCTCATCTCTTGTTGAACCCCAGCCTTGGATTACTCCTCGAATTCACATCCCTGGCTCCTCTTCCCAAATGACTGAACAGAGGTAGACAGTCACTCAAACGTGCTGCCTCAGCACATTATAAACTCATGTTTTCCAACTTCAGCTCAGTCCTCCCTCATTGAAGCAAGGCGTCTTTTTATTCCTTCTCTCATCAATTCCCCATCCCCTACCTCACAAAAGTGTTTTCTTCTCTTCTTAAGCCACCCACACCTCTTGCTTTCTCCTCTTTCAAAGCTGAGGACCATACTTCTTGTCATCATTCCCTGTGAGCTCCCTCTTCTCCCCATCTTTTCAGCTCAAACCTCCTCTCCATCATCATCCACTCTCAGCTTCTTTTCCCCAGTCTCTGATAATGACGTGGTTATTCTCTTGGCCAAGGCCAACCCAACCATCTACATATACTGTATGTTCCCAATATTCCACTGGGATTGACAAATGAGGCATATCTTGGTTTCCTTATAGCTAAGTCAGAGAGTTAAAAACATTTATATATGTGTATATATGTATACACACATATACACAGTATATATGGAAAAACATATATATAACGTTATTTAAAACATACATACATATATCATGCATATATTTATGTAAGCAAAATTTACTATAGAACCTACATGTTAAAAGTTAAATTGTGTCTTGATTTATAAAAATCTGAAATATTTGATTTTACACCAACCATCCCTAGAGGCTACAAATGATGAAATTATTGTCACTCTCAAGAAAACTGCTATTTCTTTTCACAGCTCCTTTTTGGGGGAAATACCTATAAAATATAAAGAAATGTCCCTTTGCATGATACAGAATCACATCTGTGACACCTTCCTGGCTTTAAAATATAGGACAGAGCCACAGAGTAGGTGTAAATTCTGGCAGCTTTTGAGAGTCAGATGGAGCAGAGAATTCAGTCTCTTACTTCTGCTTTTCCACATTTGACAAATATTTATTAATCACCTACTGTGCACCAGCCTCTGGAATTGGTGCTAGTGATACAAAGACAAAATGAAATGTTACCTGCCCTCGAGAAGCTTACATTCACATTTCTTATCCAACAAAATGCAAACTCTACAAGGACAGGGTCTCTTTATTTTTATTTTTTGCTTTGTGTCCCTAGCTACCCACTGTGCTTGCAAATAGCTGATACCTAGTGAATGCTTTTTTGAATTGAATTGGTGTCCTAGCAAAGTGACCTGGAAATAAAGTAATGAACATCAGGTGCTGTAATGTTTTCTCTCTTCTGCTTCCAAGACATAACCAGCCTCAAAAGCATCCCTGTTGCCTGAACCAGAAACTCTGCCCTGCAAATTTTAACTCTTATCTCTGAAACTTCCACCCTGGTAGCCCACTGGGGACTGTCTCACCTGGTCCACTGTTCCAAGGCCTGTTTTACTCCACTCCCTCCTCCCCAGGTATCTTCTCAACAATCTTGCCATCAGCCTTTACTGTAGCATCCATACCCTCCCTCTCTTCTACCCTCTTCAGTTCTGGAATCATAATCAAATCACACTGTCTAGTGTGTTGATCTATTTCCCAGTTGCTCCACCTACTATCTCTATAGCGTTCTAGAATCCAATGACCTTCCCTAGCCAAGCCTGCCCTCTGTGACCTGTTTTCTCCCAATGGAATGTCCGCTGCATGAGGGCTTCCTTCTAATACAAGGAGACATCTGCCCCATCCCCCACCCAGAATCTTCTCCAGGCTAAACAACCTTAGTGCCTTCTGCCAGTTCTCTTGTGACATGGACTCAAGGTCCTTCACTAGGCTGGTTCTCCTCTGGATGCTCTCTAGGTTGCCAATACCTCCCTAAACTGTGGCTCACCAAGCTGAACATGATATTCTGGAAGCTAGGTGGTGGACCTGGAGTCAGGAAGACCTGAGTACAAATCCAGCCTCAGATACTTATTAGCCATGTCACCCTGGGTAAGTCAATGAATCTCTGTCTACCTCCATTTCCTCATATGTAAAAATGGGGAGAATAACAGCACCTACCTCATAAGACTGTTGTGAAGAATAAATGAAAATAGTTATAAAGCACTTCGATTCAAATCGCTACATAAGCCAAAAACTGGGATGATGGGCGTGAACAGCTGCAGTGATTCCCTCAGAAAACATATGACTCATGTCGATGGACAGGAGGAGACATCCTGACAGTAGAAATGTCATTTAATTTGGAGACAAAGACCTGGATTCAAATCCTACCTCAGACACTTACCCAGTTGTGTGATGCTGGAAATATCATTTGACATCTCTCAACCTTAGTGTCCTCATCTGTAAAATGGGGATAATAATAGTGCCTACCTCACTGGGCACTAACTACGATTGATGTGAGGATCAAGTGAGATTCTGTATCATGTAAAGTTCTTTGTAAACCTTACAGCCTGAAATAAAGGCTAGCCATCATTTTCCCCCATTACAAAGTAAGCTCTTTGAAGCCAGGAGCTACTTCTGATTTTAGTTTCTATCCCCAACACTGGTAAACAGTCAGTGTTTAAAAATGCTCACTGATTCACAGTCAGTGCTTAATAAAAACCAGCTCTGCTGCAAGTCTCGTTTTCCTCATCCATAAATTCACAGAGGTAGAAGAAATGACTGCCATGGTCCTACAAGTGATTGAAAAGTGTTATTTTGTTTTTGATTTTTCTCAGCTAGAGTTGAGTGGGAAAATGTTGGGCTCGAAGTCAGAAGACCTGAGTTCAAATACTGACTCAGACATTGACTAGCTTGTATACACTTGGACAAGTTATTAAAGCTTTCTCAACCTCAGTTTCCTCATCTATAAAAGGAGATTGGGATAAGTCTAACTCTATAGTCCTAGGAAATAAGGATAAAGAGAAAAAATGCAAGTTTTTTCTTTTTAAATGGATGTTATAACACAAAGCCCCAGATTCAGGACTCTGGTTATTTTGCCCAACCCCTTCATCTTATAGATAAGTTAACTGAGGTCTAGAAAATTTAAGGGGCTCGCCTCAAATCCCACCATTGGAAAATGACCAAGGCAAGTCTTCTGACTCCTAGCACCATCTGCATTGCACAACTCTCCCTCCCAGGCTCTTACAAGGGAGAGCAATGGTGAGCGGCCTTATTTATGGGCTTGGTGGCAAAGAAATGTACAAATACATGCAAATCAGATGCTAAGGCCAGCTGCAGAAAAGCTTAATAAAAAGGGAAAATAGAAAGGAAAAGGAAACCAGTGCTAAGTTCTGATAAAAAGCAAAAGCTTTGAACAAGTTCCAAAAGGCACCTGAAATGCCACCTCTTTTTTTCCCCCTCTCAACTCTTCAAGGAAAAAAAAAACTCCTTTGTAGTTTACTTGTCAGCAAAGAAATGCTATCCAGTGTGGACACATCAAGTCCTTTTTATTCAAGGGAGTCTCAGAGGAATGGAACTGCCTCCAAGATTAGATGGAATCTAATTTGGAGAACAGAAATTTATCCTTAACAGGATTCCTTTAATAGCAGGTGCTATTTAATATTACTGATGTGGGTGTTAAAGGACCCCAAAGCATGTCACCTCCTGGAAGGGTTTGGTAATTCCCTTAGTGTGATGGCTGTTAAAAAAAAGATCTGTTCCTTCTCTTCTTTCATAGCTAACCCAGAGGGCATTTACTGAGTTCAAAGAGATAGGAAAGAGAAATTTTTATATTCCATGAAGGCTGAAGGGCTACAGAGAGAGGAGAGACAGTGCCAATTACCTGGCCTTTGATTTCTTTTTAACCTAGTGAGTGATTTAAAGGGTGGAATACACAGATGTAGGCAAGAAATATTTTCAAAGCTGGTGATATACCTCTATTTACTCTTGGTGAGTCACTAAGGCAAGACAGAGATGAGAAAGGGAGGAGAAAGGGGAAGGGAGGGAGGGAGGGAGGGAGAGAGAAGAAGAAGAAGAAGAAGAAGAAGAAGAAGAAGAAGAAGAAGAAGAAGAAGAAGAAGAAGAAGAAGAAGAAGAAGAAGAAGAAGAAGAAGGAAGAGGAGGAGGAGGAGGAGGAAGAGGGCAGGAGAGGAGAGGAGAGGAGAATGAGACCAAGACAGAGAGAAAAAGGGAGAGATGGAGAGACAGTAGTCTTAGTCAGTTTTGGAGTTGAGTTGTTAGCTAGAAATCAGAGATCCACTTGGGCCATAAGTTCATCATAAGAGGAGGTGAAAGAACACCTTGAAGTCTGTAGTTTGGCTTCCAGTCTAAACCCTGAGTGGTTTAAGTTCCTTCTGTCTTCAGGGTGAGAGGATTGTTTTATTTTCCCAAGCAGCTCAGACATGAAGCAAAACTAATTGGTGATGATTGTGGTGTCAGTGAATCAGACCTGTGGAGGCTGAATTTCCTTCAGGCTTGAACATGACACGGATTTGAAGTTTAGAGGACCTAAGTTTAAACCCCAGCTCTGCCACTGTACTTATAATACATAGAAAAAGCACCTTAAATTTTTTTTCTTGACATGTAACTAGGGAAAAAAATAAAATGCTATTTAAAAAAAGAAAGAGCCCTTCTTGTATCAAAGCTGGATTCAAATCCTGGTTCTCTTATTTATTGGCTGCATGACCTTGTGCAAGTCATGTAATCTCAAAGTCCCTCAGTTTCATCTTCTGTAAAATGATAAGGTTGGACTAGATGCCCTCTAAGGACTCCTGTAGCTCTGACTCTACGACCCTAGGAGACTTCCTACTTCATTGTGCCCCTGACAAATCCTCAGGCCTTCCATTCCCCATGTATTAAATTAAAAATCCCTTAGTCACAAAGCCAGGGCTCCTACACTCTCTGATTTCTTGCCCCATTTCTGGTTGTTGATGACTGGCTTTGAGTCAGCTAGAAGCCCTTAGCTTTACTCACTCATTCTGATCAAACTAGGCTGGTCAAAGGATGAGGAAACTGAAGACCAGAGAGTTAGAGCTACAAGTTATATGATTTGCCCAAGGTCACACAGCTAGTAAATGTCATAGCCAGGATTTGCACTCAGATCCTCTGACCCCAAGATCCAGGGCTCTGTCCACGGCACCATGATTCCTTTTGATGCCTACTTCCTTCAGAGAGACAATGGCACCTTATCACCTCTCTCCTGAGCCATTCCAATGCCCTACTTTGGGCCCCTGCCTCCAGTTTCTGCTACTTTTAACCCATCCATCACAGCTGCCAAAATGATGCTGGCTTTTGGTAGCTAGGTGGTACAGTGGATAGAGTGCTAGGCCTGGAGTCAGGAAGCCCTGAGCTCAAATCTGAACTCAGACATCTGTGAGCTGTGCGACCCTGGGCAGATCCCTGACTCTCTGTCTGCCTCCATTTCCTTATCTGTAAAATGGGGATAATAATAGCACCTACCTCCTGGGATTGTTGTAAAGTGCTTTGCAAACTTTCAACACCCTGTATCAGTGCTAGCTGTGATTGTGATCCCATAGTTTTCTCAATTGTAAAAGGAGGGGGCTGCAGGAGATAATCTCCGTGTTGCTTTATGTTTTGAGTCTCCATCCTGATTTCATGACTGCCCTCTCCTGGTCCTCCTCCTACCTGGTCTGTCTCCTCCTCCCTCCCTCCAAGCCATCCCTTCAGGCTCTCTCCTCCCTCCTCCTCTCTTTAACCTCCCTCCCCAGACAGTTTGGTCCATTCTAATGACTTCCCTTACGGCCCACAATAAATGTACAAATGCAGATCAGAGGTTGCCGCCTGTCTGTAGCTGAGGCCCAGGTAGAACCCAGTCCTGAGCTCTGTCTGATAGACATCTGCTGCTGGATCCCCCCTCCCCTCTGCCCCAGCAACTCACACTCAGTCTGTCCAAGCTGACACAGTCCATCAGCCTCCATCGAGTCTCCCGGTTTGTCCCTCTTTCTGGTGATGGCACCACCTCTTTCAGAGTCGGTCACTGACGCCCAGAACCTTGGGTTCAACCTGGACTTTTCCCACGTTTCAAACCCCTCCCCCACATTCCCTTGTCATGGCCTGGCTAGTCTTCCTCTGCAACATGTGTGGAATCTGCCTGATCCTTTTCATTGTCATTTCTCTTGCAGTACTCCAGACCTCATGACCTCTCACTTGAACCGTTGCGGAAGCCTTCTGCCTGGTCTCTCTTCCCCCAGTCATTCTGACCTGGACTTCATACCACTACAAGGTAACTCTCATGGTTGTTAAGTCTGACCGTGACCCCTGCTCCTCAATAAATGTCGCTGGTGCCTCATTCTTACCAAACAAAATAAAGCCATCACTCTGGCATTCGAGGTCCTCCGTTGTCTGGCTCCCAATTTATCTTTCTAACCTTGTATCATGCCACCCTCCACCACACACTTGGCATTGCAACCAGCCTAGACCACCAACCACCCATCAGCCTCCTCTTATTCCAATCTCCCTCCATGCCCTTTGGCATGCCAACTCCCGTGTCGAGAATGGACTCCATCTACGTACCTACTTATTGAAAGCCTTCCTTTCCTTCAAAGCCCAGCTTGGCTGATACTCATAGAAATTTAGATTTTAAGTCCCTTTACCTCTCCTTTCTACTATGAGGGATTGGGACCGGATGACCTCAAAAGTCCCTTCCCATTCTGTATCTGTGATC